CTTCCCTCCCCTTCGCTTCCCTTCGCTTCTCTTCTCTTCTCTTCTCTTCTCTTCTCTTCTCTTCTCTTAGAAGAGAGTCCTCCTGCTGGTCAGGAATGTGTTTCATTTGTTGGGTTCCTTGACCTTTCTGTGGACTTGGCTTACCCTGCCCCTGCAATGAATAACCAGATTCGAAGATGTCAGTTGTACTTGTGTGAAAGAGTGTAACTGTTTGCCACCAGGCCCAACTCCACTGGAACTTTTCTGGATTAGATTAATTTAGATATGATTAAATATGATCAAATACGTCCAAGGAAGTCCCAGTGTATGCCCTAAGTATTCTCAACTTCTCTCAAGGCTGAAGTCATTTCCTTCTTTTTTTTTTTTTTAAGAAAGTTTCGAGTTACTTAACAAGTTACTACGTCAGACTTCAGAAAAATTCAGAAAACCGACTCAAACCCCCCCATCAAGAAACGGCTGTGCAGGGTGGGCCATGGGATAGGAGTTCATCTCAAGCAGTCATTGATGGACTCAGACAAGTGCATAGTTGGAAGGCTTCCATTAGCCTGGAGGCACTATGACACCCACTCAATATGTCCTCCTCCACCCCCCTGGCCTTGAATCTGGCTCAGTGAGTTACACCTTGGCCACCCATGGCATGACCCACATCCCAACCACAGACGGAGAGAGTTGCACCTTGGCCACCCATGATATGACCCACATCCCAACCACAGACGGAGAGAGAGGGGTTCACCAACCTAACCCAAACTCCCAGGAGGCGGAGGGGCTCATGAACCCAAGGTTTAAGGAGTCCAAACTGCCAAATCTGCTCACCTTCAAGGTGCGGATTGTCCCCCTAGAAGGGGGAAGAGGAGGGAGGGCGGGATGATGTGATGTACGCTCTCCAAAGGGCTGATGGTGTATACCAGCTGGCGTTTATTGTCCAATTCCTTGGTTGGTTGGTTGGTTGGTTGGTTGGTTGGTTGGTTGGTTGGTTGGTTGGTTGGTTAGTTGATTGGTCAGTCAGTTCATTATACACGGTGGGTGAGAGGGTTGACTCACCTTGTATGACACGATTGCAGGGAGAGAGGGCTCGCAGACCGCGCTCGGACACTGAATGTAAACTGTGGAACAAAAGATGGTGCAGACATTGGACCTGTCATCAGTGAGCAAGTGAGATCTCCATCGTGCTGCTGTAATCACCCACTTGTTGTTGTTGTATTCCCATGTTCTTTTACCCTTTATCAAGTTTGTCACCTTCTGGATAAATGCATCAGTTATGAGAAGGACACACAGACGGGAAACAAAGATTAAGCATGTGTTGAACTGACAGTATCCTGGAACTCGAAAGTCAGCAAGTGATCCTAGTTTGATATATCCACGAATGTGGCAAAATTGGCATGAGCAGACCTCAGTTTGAAGAAGCCCTGTTTTCTAGGCTATTCGATTCCTCTTGTCCCCCCCTCCCCCCCTAAAAAACCTCTTCCCTTGGCTAAATACTCCTATGATTCCTATCCTTCCCGTGCAATCCCACCACCTATGAGTGGAATGCTGTGCACTTAGCTTCCATAGTACCCTGCAGCCAAGTGCATGTGCTTCCCACAGGAGCCGGTGACTGGCGCAGCTCCACGAGCCCTACCACAGCATGTGCTTTAGGACTCCTGTATACTTTCCGCCCTTTCCCCCACACTCCTTTCATCAATTCTTCCTTGTGTACCCCCACTCCCCCAGTCCTATCTGAGCGTCTACCACCCAGGACCATCACTCAACTCAGCCCTGGTTGGAGCATATTCGGTCAAACCCTGTTGCACGGGTACTTTCGGGCTCTAGGCATGAAAATTTTCTTCACCGGCTTCGTGGGAAGACCCTAGATGCCCCCCAAAGCTCAGTAGCCGGGTTCTCTAGATATGTCTGAGCACTCCCCAAGCTTCCACAGGTCGTGTCTAATGGCTAAGGCCAATGTTTAACCCATGACAGCCCCCTGAGCAAACCCAGGTACACACCCCTAGCACAGCTGTTGTTTGTTGTTGTTGTTGTTGTTGTTGTTGTTGTTGTTGTTGTTGTTGTTGTTGTTGTTGTTGTTGTTGTTGTTGTTCCAAAAAAACAGAACCTTACGGTTCTGGCTCCGTTCCATTCTGGGGAGCATCAGTCCGGTTCTTATTCCACCGGCAAGTCAAAAGGAGTTACAACAGTTACTCGCACACGCTCCTCCCCATTATGGCTGAGAGGCCCGAGTGGACAGCATTGATTACTTCCATTTGGAAGGATGTACCACCCCTCACCCCTGCCTAAGTTAGCCTATCAGTCTTTGAGTTGAGTCCTACGTTGTCTGCCAGGGATTCTTTCTGAGAGCAGGTGCCTATCCCTTGTAGCCTGGTCCTACTTGTTCTTCCCAGCTCGCTGACTGTCCTCTTTTGCTTTGTGTACTGGAGTTACTTGGAAGGTCTAATGCTGTCTGGCTTTCTAAAACCCTAAACCGTAAGACTCTGGCTCTAAAAAGGGTTCTATTCTGTCTCTGTTCTTCTGCTGAGGGCCAATGCCCAATTACTTTGCTTACCATGTCTCCTTTTGTCCCTGTTTTCTGTCTCATGTTAGCCGAAATGGCCTCTTTTATCCTTGTGTTTTATTGCTGCAAACAGTGGATATGGATGTGTTTTCTGAGGGGCAGAAGTTAGGGGTTATGGGGAGAAAGGATTATAGATTCAGGGGCTGATTGCTTAGTGTAGGGGAGGAGGTATTCAATGTGGGTTAGTGGGGTTTGTGAGTATTGAGGTTGGTGATGGTGTTTTGTGAGGGCTTTCGAGGGGAGGGTAGATTGACGTGAGGGAGGCGAATGGGTTGGGTGTTTCGTTGGTCGGAGTGTTAGTTTTGAGTTGAGGTTTGGAGGGTAGTGGCTTCACGCTGTGAGCTATGATACTTATTGGATGGTTATAAGCGATGATATTGTATGCGAGATGTAGAGTTGGCTAGTTTTTGGCTCCTAGTCCGGTTATCTATAGTGTACTGTTTAAGGGGGGGGGGGGTATGACTTCTGTGGGTTTTCCTGGTTTATGGATTTCTGTGACTCAGATGTTATCTTCGGTCCTGACTTGTGGTCCAATGGGGTTTGTTGGCGTTGTGTTGGTTAGGGGGTCTGCGCTGGCGTTGTGTGGTCTATGGGGCTGCGGGGGTGGTATTGTTAGCCAATTTTCATGACCAGTCTGTTTTCTTTTATTGTGCCTAGGTTACCTCTTCCTAGTTTGAATGTCTTGAATCTTTGGATTATTATATCTGTTTTCTTATCTGGGTTACTATCAATTACGGTTGTATTTTTCTTCCACATGGCGTGTATTTCCGTTTCTATGAGATGCTTAATGGTAATGAGGGGGTTGTCAGGAATGGTGTGATTGTCCTCAAAAGTTTGTTCGCATCTCTTCTTCCATATGGCCCATATAGTCGCCTTTCTTATTTGTGAAAAGAGAAATAAGTCAAAGCCTTGAAGGGGGGGGGGGTTGTTCTATGTCTAGGAATGCAGTGCCAGGGTTTATTTGTATCACTTTGTTGGAGAGCTTGTTCCAGGTGTTCTCCATCTCATACCAGAGGTTTTGTGCTTTCTCACATTCTAGGAAGCAATGGTTGAGTGTTTCTTTAGCCTCCGAATTGCAAACTTTGCACCATGAAGCCTGTCCTGTTCTGTCCTCGTTTCTTCTTCTTTGTGCTACCGGTAGCCAGTCATTTACTGGGACTGCTCTGAATGTTATGAGCCATAGTAAGCTTGCCAATTTCACCGGTTTTGTGCAGAAGATTGATGACCAGGAGGGGTTATAGGTAGATGCTGAGAGTGAGATTTCTTCTTTTTGCCATCTTTTTTGGATGACTGTATTGGATGAGATGGGTGTAGAAAACAGTTTATAGCCTAATTTGGTTGTCAGCTTGTCTTCTTGACACAGCTGTAGTGTTATTAGGGATGTTCTAAGACCATTCTGCGGGGTCGATTTCCGCCAGGGGTTGAATGTCTGAGTCCGTGTTGTAAACTCTATTGGTCTCTCCTTCTGGAAAGACCAATTATTCTAAGGTTACTGATTTTAAAAGAACCCTCTGCCCTACTTTCCTCTTGTAGACTGCTTACTGGGTTTCCTATTTCTTTCAAGGGGTAGATGTTGCATCCAATCCAATCTTTGTTATGTTTTTCTGTGTTGGTAATTTTTAGGACTTCTTGGATATTTTTCTGGTCTTTCTGTGCCGCCCAGTCTCCTATTAGCCATTTTTGCTCCGATCTTAGTAGGCGCCTCCATTCCATAGGTATAGAATCTATGATGCATGCAAGGTTGGCTTGTAGGTTATGTTTCCCCTTGAGAGTTAGTCTCAAGTCCTTCTCAGTTTTCCAATTGTTGGCGGAATCATCCCACAGGTGTTGGATCTGCCAGATCCCCTTTTCCAGCCAGTGTCCCCATTTGGCGTTTGTTTTGTTGAGTGACAGGATTTCTCCCTTTTCATTTTTGATCCAGGGGTTGCCGATTATGGGTTGCCTGAGTAGTTGGTCCTTCCTTTTGGGGCCTAGTTTATTTTTTGGGAATATTATTCTCCACTTGTGTAGTTGTTCCCAGAAGGGTCTAGATTGGTTGTTCCCTATTACTTCTGGTTGTTCTGTTTGTTGGTTGTGAAGCCTTTTGCAGTTTTGTATGGGCCAGTGTTTGAGTAACCAGTACTGACCTGACATATTGGGGGGGGAGTTATATGGGGCTAGTTCTCTGATGTCTTTGAGTGCCAGTGGGACCCATTGGAGGTTGCTTTGTAGAATGAGTCTTAGTATCCATTTGATTTGGAGGGCTTGTAGTTGTCGGGCTGGGTCCAGTAGACCTAGGCGTCCTCTCCTTTTGGATAGCGTTACTATTTGCCATGCGACTTTGTGAATGAAGTTTTGCTTGTCAGGATTACCAGTCCACAGGCAGGCTGCTGCCTTACTTCTTATTTGTTGCTGAAAGCCCGGTGTTGGGAACCAAATGGATGTGGCGTACCACATCATGGCAAAGATTGAGTTGTTAAGTGCCAGAACACTTCCAAGGGATGTGTGAGATCTCTGCCAGCTATGCATTTTGTTGTTGTTATTGTTATTGCTGTTGTTCCTGTTCTTCAGACTCTTCTTGCGATTGTGGCATTTGTATATATCGCCAATGCTACAGTTTCCGTCAACGGACTGTCATCAACTGGGGTTGTTTCTGGTTTCTGTCATTGAGTGGTACCATCAGGCCTCATGTCTCCGTCCTCAACTAGATCCCCCCCAAATCTCCGTCGTCGACAGAGACCTCTGTGATATGCAACCTCGCACCCCGTGCAGCGTTCTGTATCCGTAGGGGGAATGCTGATCAGAGTAGAAGGGGCGTGGCCGAGAATTATGGGCAAGTGGTGAAATCCCAGGGCAAAACTGGAATCGCCCATGTCAGTTCAGGGGTTATCCATACAAAGAAGAGGAGTGACAAACAAAAGGCTGAAAAGGTCTATTTTTCAAAAATTGTCCCATGCGCGGGAGGACTTAAACGAAAATGGCCGCAAAGCTGCAAAACAACAAAAGAATTCAAAGTTCTGCTGAAGTCAAACGAATAGGCTCAGTCTCCTTCAGACATTCTGAAGGAACAGCAATAGACTGGAAAGGCCGTCTCAACTAGTTGGAATCCTCGCGATTGGATGACCGAGGGCTGGGGCCTTGAAGAGCGGGAATGGCACGTGGAAGTTTTCCAAGAAAGCGCCAGCTGGACGGCTTTACTTTGGCGAACGGAGCGCTCCCCAATATCCCAGCACTAAGCGGAGCCACGAACACCAGTGGGCGAGGCCCATTTACACCATCGACAGTTGATCTGGGGGTTCCACATGGTGTGTGTAGCCAACTAGGGCAACATGGTCAAATTGGAGCATGGGAAAATGAGTTGAGGAAAATAAGCTGAGGAGAGTCGAAGCAGTGATTAGTATGAATCCGTCCCCAACAAAATGATGAGCTTTGGATGGGTTGTAGAAATGAACTCGGTCGGCTCGCAGTAGCGACCTTCTCACATCCACATCGCAGTAGACAGAATTCTCGTCTATGACGGGGAACTTGGAGGGGCTGCCATGGTGGATCGAGGCGAATTGGAGCATGGGCAGTTGCCTGTGTTAAGACTCAAGGTTGAAAATGACGACTCCATGCACACAACTTAGTG